CGTCTGCAAGTATCTTGGTTTATGTCCCAAAGGAAACACATCCAAAGGACTCGAGTAGCTGAAACACTTCCCAACATGATAGTTTAATAAGGTTCAACGTTTGATATGCCTTTCAATTCTATTCGACTCTTGGGGAGAATACCCAGCGATGGGTCAGCAACTAGAGTTACAACCTTGCAAGTGGGACAACCCAAACAGTTGGTCTTCCTATGCAACAAGATGCTCCTTCAACAATCGCTGCAAGATGTGTAGGAACCGTAGGAACCCGTAGACGCCGTAGATGACTTTTCACTCAGGACATCTCCAAACGAACAGCGCCCACGGACGTGAGGGGGCCCAGGCTGCACAGGCAGATGGGATGCCAACGATCCATAGCCATGCAGGGCTTATGTCAACTCACAATAAGTATATATATATATATATATATCAGTATAGTACATCCCTGGTTTATATTTTTTGAAATGGGTGCCAGCTGAAATTTCATATGGAAAATGGATCATTTTATCGTTGCACCTCCTCAATTTAAACAGCCATAGGGTTAAAACATGTTAAAACACTAATCCATGGTAGGCTCGGACAGCACTCTCCAAGCCTGTGGAGTTTAGTAACACCCCATGAGTCTAGTTTCTGAACTAATCCCTCCTTGGATCATATTAAACACCCCATTCTATGACTATGGTTTAGTCAAATATATTCATGAAGTTTCATCCCCTACATCCACCATGGTGACTCCGGGAAGGTCAATTTTTTAGGAATCAGGGGATCCCTCCAAGATCCTCCAAGTTTGTTAGAGAAGATGCCCCAAACATCTCAACTCAGAATGGGTTTTTAAGGGAACATCTCCACCAAAACGCTTCGTTTCAGCCTGACCTTTTTGGGCCTCACTTCGAGAAGTGTTGGTCCAGGGCGATAAACATCGAAAAAGATGTGGAAAACCCCTATGGTTTCTGGAAAGTGATCTACAGACATGGTGGGTTGTCCACAGACATGGTGGGTTTACAGGAGAGTAACCTGTGTTTCCTTCACGGAGTATAGATCAAATAAAAAGGCGACCGAATCTGTGGCTATGTTGTGGATCGGAATCAGTGATGTCCTTCGAAACTTTCTGCAATCTGCGATCTGCAAATAGGGGTGACACCTGTAAAAATTGTAAAACTCAGACTGAAAATCCTGGACAGTAGGATTTTTCAAGTTGTGGTTTGGACAACCAAGGGGGTTAAGTCTAAAGGAAATCCCACAAGAGAGATTTATCTCAGGTCGACCAACGACGCCAACACCGGCAAAGTGTGGGGGCTTGATGTGGAAGGGCTGTTGGACAAGAATTCCTACTTTAACAAACATGGGAAGTAGAATTAACATGAATTAACCTACTAATTGAACGTAATTATTATAGTAAATTATAGGATGTATAACATCAATGACCAGCATTTTGGGATATCCTTCTAATGAATCCAATCCCCTTGACTGGTCGTATGTGTAAATCATCTCTAAACGATGGTTTATGGGGGTGTTCTGAATCCGGGGGTGACATTACCCAAAAGTGGTCAATGGAGTAATGGAGTTAACTCGGAGTTAACCCCTCGTCAAAGATAGAACAATTGCAAAGCTGGAGTCCTGATTCGGTAAACACAGAATCCAGAACAGCTTGGCATGTCACTGTTCCATGTTTTGGGTCTTGAAGGAAACCGTGAAATGCGTTGGCAACAATTTGAGGACATGATAGGAAATGTGTAGATGCGACTTCGCTCCATATGAAAGCACTGTGGAGCAGTGGTTTGCAAGTTGGGGGGATCTCGAAAAATGCGTGTTATCAATGTATGCCTTCACATTCAGATGACCTGTTAAAACTGGTAAACTTACAAAAACAATCAAAACATACGTGCATAGACACCAGGTTTATGTGTACACTGTGCGTACGTAGTACTTAATCAGATGAGAAATTCTTCATGTTTGTAAGCCGGAAAAAAAGTGGTCCGTTGTCCGTTGTGATGGTAGAGAGCATGTGATATTCCCAGTGATCCATAGCCACAGCGCCAAGGAAACCTGTCTATGTGGCGATTTGGATGTGCGGGGCTTGTCAGGCCCAGGGTGGAGCTGCCCAAGAGACAACGAAGATTCATAGCGGCTGATTCCAATATTTGCATATGTTTGCTGGGTGACGAAACACAACGTTGGGGGGTATTTGAACAAAAAAGCGCTAGAGTTCCCTTCCAATTGAATGGTGCACAAAACAATAACTCACATATAATTACTCGTCAATCATCATTAACCATCCCACAAATCTCTGGTGCTGACTCAAAAAAAACAAATGTAATTGTGTTCTTACCCCCCCAAAGGAAAACAACATCATCCGGTCCTGAAAATGGGGGGATCAACCCCCAAAATTGCAATTCTAATTGGCACAAATCAAATGGCATCAATAGGGTGGTTTTCCCAACGTTCTCAGACAAATCTTCGCCTCAGATGCGGCATCTTGGAAGTTCTCCGGGGTCCGGCAGGCGTGTTCGTACGCGCAGAGGATGTTGGGTGAAGTTAGGTTTCTTAGTGGCTATGATCATGGTGATTTTATCCCCAAAAGTTGAGATATAGCTTGGCAAAACCATACAAAACCATGGAAAAAACCCTAATTATATAATTATATGGGGGGTTCCATAAATGGTATTTTCCACTATAAACCATCCATTTTGGGGTATCCCCTTTTATGGAAACCCTATAACCCTCATATACTTGTAATGGTCATACTGCGCAAAACGTACTGTAAGTGGAATTGCCATCCCCAAGTAGAGTGTGATCGCTCGTGGAAAAGGCAATTGAATGGTTGATATCTGTATTGAAACGTAGTTGATGTATATATATATATATATTACTATATATTTATACATATATAATCATTTATAGAACCATATATTATAATATCATATTCAAACTATATATATATATATACTGTACATTCTTTGTGTTTGACGTTTTTACAAACTGCGTCATGTCTGTTCACCGAGATCAAAAAGTTGACCAGCACCCCTTGGAAGTGACGAGAAATGGATCACATCAAGCATTTCCATGCTGCACATCAAATTTGAACTCGAAACATCATTAATTATAGATCGTTCTTTCCGACCAGAAACCCTTGTTGATTGTATCATATCCCTCTCAACCATATATTTCTTGCACTATGTCAATGAAAATTACGTCTCCACTATATCCCATGATATCTCCATAAATCAACAAACAAGTTCCATATTAATGAATCGCTTGAGAACCCATAGACTTACATAAATCTTGTGCCACTTGGCGTGCAGGAACTCCGACGTAGCTTGTGCTCGTGCCTCCTCCTCGACCTTGTGCTTCTGTGGACATCGTTTCGGAGCGTGCCTTGTTTCATGTTATCTATTCCTTTGTTTGTTTGCTTAAATGGATTTAGAAGGCAAGTCAAGTCATAACTCATAGCATATCAAAACAAAATCTAAACATGTGCGCTGCAACCCCTACGTTGCTCCGCGTCGGAATCAGAAGTGGCCGAAGTATATAAAAGTACATAGCACATATATCATATATTACATCACATAAAAGTCAACGTCAGATCCCTTAGCAAGGGGTGATCCCTGTCAAATAGTTTGATCCCTTAAGTTCATGTTCTTAAGATAAGTTGATGTTGATGATCCCTGTCAACGTAGTAGTCAGAGGGGGTGGCGGATTTTGATCCCTCAACAAGATAAGTTCATGTTCTTATTATCATCAACATATAAGTCAGAGGGGGTGGCAAATTTTGATCCCTTTTTGAAGATAAGTTGATGTTATGATCCCTGTCAACGTAGTAGTCAGAGGGGGTGGCGGATTTTGATCCCTCAACAAGATAAGTTCATGTTCTTATTATCATCAACATATAAGTCAGAGGGGGTGGCAAATTTTGATCCCTTTTTGAAGATAAGTTGATGTTATGATCCCTGTCAACGTAGTAGTCAGAGGGGGTGGCGGATTTTGATCCCTCAACAAGATAAGTTCATGTTCTTATTATCATCAACATATAAGTCCGAGGGGTGGCAAATTTTGATCCCTTTTTGAAGATAAGTTGAGGATATGGACTGGATCCTTTGGATCATTCCCCCATTCCCTATCAAGCACCAGAAAGATGCTGATGATGATGATGATGATGATGATTCTCTTGAGGTGTGGAGCAACGCCCGGGTTGGAGGGAACATGTGCTAATGCATTGCTATATACATTATTTGGTGCACTGTTCAATCATACTATCCTTGCTGACATCTCCAATGGTGCAGAAAAGCACCGTTCTCCCATGGTATCCTGTGGTCCTTGGCGGATTGCGAGGCACGAATTAGTGGAAGGGGCAGGTGCCCTCAAGTTCAGGCGCCGGGATTGGGTGGATGATGGAAGATCTCAGTGTTTTTGTTTGGGGAAAACAGGGAAAACAGTTCAGATGTTTAAAATTTGAAGCATTTCAAAATAATACATATATATATACCAAACGGCCACTGAATAGAAGCTGGATCGCTTGCAAGAAGATGGACTGGAGTGTTATGTGTGGCTATGAGTAGAAATGGTCCACCAGGAGAGCCCCGAAAATGGAAGACTATTTGGGTGTTTCCTGTGATTTAGGGGGTACCCCCAGTTATCATCCATTTATATCCATTTATAGATACTTATTCCATTATAACCAGCCATTTCGGGGTACCCCCATGACTATGGAAACCTCCATTTCAATTTGGAGATGATTTGATAGTGGCATGCTTCATGGTGAAGCTGAACAGGCTGAACATCTCAAAGCTTGACCCAGGCATCGCCAGTCCAGTAGCAAAAATGGCTCAGAAGGGTAGGACTTCCGCAAGAGCAAGAACTATTACCCTGTCGAAGAGACAGACATGGATATGGCATTGATGTTTTAATCCATGTTGACTCTATTTATAACTTACATCCATTTGGAATTGGAAAATGAAATGACGAAGACTAAGATCTGAAAAAAATCAGCCAGATTTCTGAGAACCTTTCACATCGCCATGGAGCCTGGTGGATTTCACGATGAGATGGTTTCCTTGGCTTGCACTGGGTGCGGGAGCACTGGAGCACATATGTATAACATAATATATATATAAGATTTTAGTTGGAAGGTCACTACCTTCACTACCTCAATTCATCCATCAAACATGTATATCTACCATCTACCCTACGATTTCAGTACGTTTACAACTGTTGATGGGTCAACTGAGCTCAAGATACTCACGTCATATGCGGCATAGCTGGTGGCTAACTTGGTGCGGATTCGGGGGATCGCTTTGTTTGAAACTTGGGTCTGGTGGTTCACCCCGGAATGGCAATTGGACAATTGAACACATTAGACGATTCAACCATCATCCAGAATGTGAAACTATAACCAAAATTCGATATTCCCAACAATTAACCATCATCAACTATAATTTTGTTGGGGGTAGCCGAGTTTCAGACGTACATACAGACGTCTGGAGGCACGGTTTAAAAGTGGCCTGAACTTCGGCATGTTTTTTGGACACTGGGGATTTCCGCCCCTTTGCAGAACCAGGTTCTGCCGGAACGACGTTGGAACTTGTTCAAGGCTGCGCTGGGAATGGGAATGTTTTTTTTTAAATGTTGGGAATGGGAACGATGTTGCAGGGGTTTGGAGGTTTTCCTTAAGCCTCAACCAAGATGGCAAGATGGGAATGGTTCCTGGATCAAGAGTATGTGATAAGTTTTTACTTAGGGGATGAACATCCATAAATTACAGCTGGGCTTTAATCACTACAGGATATCAAGGTTTTGATCCATACCCATATAACTCTGTCATACCATGTCACATGCTATCAAAAACAGATGTTTCAGCAAGGAAGCATGCATGGGAAAGACTTTGTTGTGTAGTTGAATATGTTTCCTTTTGGTTGTAAACCGGGAAATGCATGGGTCCCAGGGTATCATATGATCCAACATTTTAGGGTTTGGCCCCAATATTTTGTCGATTGATTTTATTTAGATCCCAGTTTGTTGCAGTTTTGTTTTTAATCCCATGTCTGTTGCTTCTGAACTCTGACCCAGCTTTAGAGAACTAGCAGTAGCAGATCTTCCAATGGGCCAAGTACACGGACCTTTTTCACAGTGGAGGTCATGAAGGGCATTTCTGGAAGTGTACCACTGACACATATTGAGTTCCATGGCCAGAAAAAAGACATGACCCATACTGATACCGTGAAGTGAACACCTGTGTGTTTTTTGTTCCCTTTTTTTTTGGGGTTTGATATGTTCTTTTTGTTGATACCAATTATATGTGGGATATTTGGAGATGATGATCCCCGATTTCACTACCCCATTTGTTCAGATTGGTTTAAACCATGAGCCTGGCACACGTCCGTTGCCACGGCTGAAGAGGCCTGCATTCGACACAGCGGAGGGAAGAACACACATTTAGAGGTAGGAGGGGGCAGGGGGGAGCAGCGGAGCAGCTGCAGAAGCAATTCATCTTACAAAATATCTTCCAGATTCTTGGAAATGTCAATTGGATTTGTGGGAAACTCAGAAAATCCCGTTCGATGCCCTTGATTTTTGTTGTCGGAACACGAATGTTTTTGGTTTAAGACTCTGTAATTTACAAATCTCTTTGGTCATTCAACATCGCTATGGAACATTTTAACATGGTCCATTTAGCTCGATGATTTAGTTCGCGATGCTGAGAAGTCTCAAAGGTCTCGGCTACTATGGGTCCAGAAAGGTTCAGAACCGCATAGACAAAGATAAAACCCCAACGGTCGAAACTTGCTATGTTACCAGGGGGATATTCATCCCATGTCATTCATGGTGAACTCAAAAGATCTGATCTTTCATCTCCCATGTCCACCTATGTCATTGTTAATATAAATTCATGGTTCAAAGCTTGGGCAGATCCAAACTCACCTGCCATTTCCCATAAATTACCCTTTGGTAATTTAACATAGCTATGGAAAATCACCATTTTCAATGGAAAAACTCACGATAAATCACCATTTTTAATAGCTATGTTAAATTACCAGAGGGTAAGTTATCTCAATAGTTCCCTAATTTTCAATGAAAACAACTTCAGCTTCGTGATCTCCGCTGGAGGTATCGACCTCCGACAGCGTGAAAGATCTGAAGCGACGCCTCGAAGAGTGTCCCCTGGCCGTGGAAACTGCTACACCAAGTGGGTAAGTCAAGGTGGTCCATTAAGATCCATTAAGTAGTTCGTTATATCTACATATATCTACCATATATCTACCATAAAGCCAAGTGAAATTGGAGCACCACCTTGGGGGGTTGATACTATGGACTCAGCTCTAGGGGTCATCAATGCCCCAGCTGAGCAAGCGGATTTCACCAAGCCTGGGAGATTCCGCTGTCGTTGATTGCCAGTTTCAAAAGGCTCAGGTTGGGAATGGTTTTACTATAACGATCCAATATGGGGGTTTCCATAAATTGAGGTACCCATTAAATGGATGGTTCTTAATGGAAAAACCATCTATAAATGGATGATTTGGGGGATACCAGCATTTAATTTCAGGAAACTCCATATATGTTTTCCCATGCCATCCCATAAATTTATCATGCTATCACCATGTGTGTTGATTAGACACATGTTATTGGTTTCATTACATATTGGGTTGCCATTATCTAAGACATGATTTATTTCTGGTTGGTGGTTTGGAACATGAATTTTATTTTTCCATTCAGTTAGGAATGTCATCATCCCAACTGACGAACTCATATTTTTCAGAAGGGGTAGGCTCAACCACCAACCAGGTTAACTATCATTTACTATGGAAAATCACATTTTTTAATGGGTAAATCCACCATAAATGGCCATTTTCAATAGCTATGTTTGTTTACCAGAGGGTAAATGTTCCCAAATCAACCATCAAACATTTGATCATGTCCAAGGCTTAGCCACCACATCAACCTATGAATCAAGCATCAAGCATTTTTTTGGTGGCTTCATGAAGTTGAACCATAAACAAACGGCATCCAGTTAGAGTCCGACATTAATACCAAATCCTGTTGGCCAATTAATATCGCATGTGATCTTAATCCCAATTTTAGGGCACTACCAAATCTGAATATCCAATTGCTTCGATGATGTTTGTCAAAAAAAGATGTGCATTTAGTTCGGGGATTCCCCAGCGGCCCTGTATATTTTTGATGACGAAGGAGGGTAATGTTGGTATTATAAAGATCACTGGGATTTATTGTGAAGATATTATACCATTATGTTGTTGGTCAGCATTTTCCGAGAGATAGATCCATATGAATCTCCGGTCATTTGTTGCATAGCTATAAAAAGAATTGCCCATGGAGTTTGATACTTGACCTGTTTGAAACATGGTGATTTTCCATAGCTATGTTGGTCAGATATGTGATTATGTTGGCCTCTTTTATATCCCCATTGATGAGTGGTTTAATCCCCAGTATATCCCCATGACATGTTAAATTATCATTGACCCCCCATTCATTAAATAAATCACGAATAAACCACCATTACACCACCATTGAATCACCATTGAATCACACTTACCTTCCCCACGATCTTCCCATTGGTTAAATTGCCCAGAGGCTAAATCCCTACAAGGTGGTGCTCCAGCCAGTTATAAGTTGCTTTATCAGCCCATTAACATCCATTAACTATAGATATGTGATGATATGTGGGGGTCTCCTAAAATAAGGGGACTCCAAATCATCCAAGGCATTAGACGATTTTAGTATCGAAGCCCACCATTACTTTCCCATGATCATCTCATTCTGGTCGGCGGTTTGGAACATGTTTTTATGTGTCCATATATTGGGACTAATCATCCCAACTGACTATGACTAATATATACCAATATTATATTATATTATATTTACTGACTATGACTAATATTATATTTTTCAAGATGGTTAAAACATGTTAAAACCCAACCAGCATTAAATGTTCCCAGAGAATAGCGGCCACTTCCCACGCGTCTCAGGTTTTGGTGTCTTGGCCAAGGACCAGAGGCTCCTCTGTCGAGGCAACTGGTAAACTCACCGAGTCGCAGTTTTCGTGGGTATGTGCACCATCAACACATCGGGATGTACCCATGAAACCCATAGAAAAATGCTGATTTACCTATGACAAATAGGGATATTTAATGATATTTAAACATCAATGCATGGATACAACTTGTGATTTGATATTATTTAACATAATTCAATCATCAAAAATTGGTCTTTAACATGGAACGATAGGGTACAATGAGAAATATCATGGGGGATCTACCGGGGGAGTTCCATGAAATGTTTAATGGCAAAAGTAGGGGGATGTAGCATAATATGTAGTCACACCTATAAAAATTCCTATCATTACACACCTGTTGTTCATGGTTGTATCATATATATATATATATCCCAACAATTATATCCCATTCAATTCCATTTTTGATGGATAAATCACCAATGAACAACATTAAAAACATGATTGCTGCAGTATGTTTTCCATTAAAAAAAACCATTGCTGCATATTCAATATCTCAGCAATCTGTCTTGCTTCAACTCCCTTGAATTTTCCCTTCAGAAACCATCGATGAGATCAGCAGTTTGATTTCGTGAATCCGATGAATCATCCGAAAAATCACCCCATAACAAAATCAGCAGTTTCATGGGTTACCCTCTGGTAAACTAACATAGCTATGGAAAATCACCATTTTCAATGGGAAAATCCACTATAAATCACAATGTTCAATCGCTATGTTAGTTTGCCAGAGGGTAAATCATAGTTTGACTTGGTGAAACTACCACGAAATCCCTCGAATTGTTGATGGTAAAATCCCATGAATACATATTGAATTCTATGGTTTTTTGTGATGGTTCAAATCCCACTCAATCGTTGTTGTGTTGCCCCATTGTTGATGGCGTTTTTCCCTATCATCTATCGTTATCACATCTTCAGGTGCTTTGATGGTGGATGAAAGGAGCCTGGGTTCCTACGAGCTCGAAGAAGATGCCGCGGTGATCGTGCCGCGGCGCGCTCGTTCTTTTGGGACCTTCTGAAGCCCGCAAAAAGTGGGATTTGGGCTATGAACATATGGATTCTCATGGTTTTTTACATGATTTTGCTTTTGCAAAAAAAAAAACAGTTACATGATGTTACTCATGATCATTGGATTGTGAATGATTTTAGGTACCAATGAACACTTGAATTTTCACATGAGCCCGTAAACATATCCTTGTTGATTGGTCAATATAGGGGGTTATACTGGGGCGGTGTATTGCAGATTATGATAAGCAATAATTAATGTACTCATATATTAACCAGTATGGGATAGGGCTATTTGTCATGGCTCACAAGAATTTACTTATGAAAAGTAGAGTGAAAAGTAGAGTGAAATTAGTCCTATGAAGTTTGCGAGTGTATCCATGAACATGTGAATTTACCTGTGAAAGTTGGGATTGCATGACGATGAACACCGATATTTTAGCCATAGCATTGGTGATTTTTGCTGTGTCCTAAGAGAACTGGTTGGTTCTTAAAGTGGGACACCGGAGACCTCAAGTTATCGTCCAAGTGTGTTTTTTTCAATGAAACCACTGGTGGTTTTGGGGTTTCCGCATTTTTTTCTAATATAGACACGTCTGAAGCAGATTTTTTTTAGCCCAAGGATTTGGTGATCAGACTATCAGACTGCCGTCCAACTTGGGGTAAATCCCAGCAATGAAATCCCTAAGTATAATTTACCATCTGGTTATTTAACATAGCCATGGAAAATCACCATTTTTTATAGGTAAACCATCTATTTCTATGGGCCATGGCTTCCATGGCTATGTTAAATAACCAGAGGGTAAGTTCCTAACTATGATTTCATCAAACCAAATGTCCCATCTCCAGTTATAAATCCTATATACTCGGTGATATCCCGAATCCCACTTTTTGACATCCTACAACAAAACACCATCAAACCATCATCAAAACATGTTCAATCCTGAAATCATCTTCAATCCCATTTTTATAAATCCTACTCGGTGGCTCATTCCACGAATCCTAAGTAGGTTATATCATTGTTATATCAGCCTATGTCCCTGGTGTTTGTTCAGTGGGATAAATAGGGTTGATCCAAGTTGATCCACTAAACTACCCTCTGGTAATTTAACATAGCTATTGAAAATGGCCATTGATAGTGGATTTTCATGGATTTTCCCATTAAAAATGGTGATTTTCCATAGCTATGTTAAATTACCAGAGGGTATATTTCCCTTGGATTTCCAATGGATTTCCCCATGGATTGCCCCACTTTCCAGGTCCTAGCGGCTCAGCTGCGGCTCCGGCAGGATCCCCACACGGCTTGGCCCAAGTGTCGTGGTCCAGGCAGCATTTGGGGTTCAGCCCAGATTTCATGGGTTACCCTCTGGTAATTTAATGTAGCTATTGAAAATGACCATTTATAGTGGATTTTCCCATTAAAAATTGTGATTTTCTATAGTTACGTTAGTTTACCAGAGGGTAGCTACGAAAACACAGGGCTTTGACATGTTTTTACCCACCAGTTGACTGGAAATCAACTATTGAATTGACATGGTGATTTACATGGTTTACCCACTGGCAAACTAAGAGATACTAACAGTTTGCTGGAAAATCACCATTTTGACTATATGTAAATCTACTATTTCTATGGTCATGTTCGCCATATTACCAGAGGCTACTTCTTAAAAGTAAATCCATGGGTTTTCCGGGAATGATCGAACGGTTCATGGTTGATTTTCCATATCGTTGTGTGAGTCTAGCATGGCAATATTAAAAAGAACCTATCCCAAATTCACCGTGGGGCTTGATATAGACTATATATATATAATGATAATGTACCCTGTGCGTCATAGACCTATTCTGGATAGGTCTTTCGAGAAATAAACGTGAATCTTGGGACCTATCCAGCAAGGGAAGGGTGCTGCAGCAAGGGTTCAAGATGTCCATGGCCAAGAAACATCATTTTATTCAATATGTTCACAAATTCTTGAAGAGAACCAAACGAGAATAACCAGATAATACCAGATATTTTGAGGCACAATTTATGCACAATTTCAGACCTGACCGTGGACAAACCTTGGAACAACCTATCCAGGGCGTGGAAGGGCCTATCTAGAGTGTGGACCAGGGGTACTAGAATGTTCACTTGATGTCATTTTTTTTGCTGTATTTTGGATCCCCCCAAAAAAGAATGGGCAACGACTTGGCTTTTGATGTTACGGGATTCCTTGGGTCTTGACTCCCCCATGTTGCATTCCAACTGTCGAGGCAAAAGCGCCTCCTGCAACGCAGCTCGCGGCTTTTTAATGGCTGGAGAACCCAGGTCTACCCCTTTGACAGGTAATCATGGATTGAATGCCGCAAAACCATGCAAAACCAGCGAATCTGGTAATTAATGTGATGAAATGATACTATTTATATCTATGTATAATTATGAAACATAAAACAAAACTTCAGGACGGCAATTGGTAGCAGTTCCCTACCATTCCCCCAAGGACAGAAACATGGGGATGGGTGTTTCACCTGTTCTGAAACATGTTATGAAACCATATGATTGGGGGACATTTTTCTTCACCAGGTGGAGCTAGGAAGCATAGCAAAAAACCAAGCAGCTAATTCAAAGTCCCAGGCTTCAACAGGAACATCTTGACATTTTCCATGGGATATTTAAAGTGGGCAATATGCAGACGGCAGATACTCAGATAATCTCAGACACCAAATAAGTGGTTGACAGAATTTATGAGCTCTCCGGGCTATCCGCTTACAGATTTTTTTTTGATGTATTGAAGCGCAGGGGCGACAGAGTCTCCAAATTTCTCCAAATTTGTTGGGGCTTCGCTCCCAGGTGCCTGGGACCTTGGACCAATGGAGGCGAGAAAAAAACTTGGTCGATTGGGGGAAACAAATTGACATGATTCATCCATTTTTCCATGGAAAATGGTGGTTTTATGTTGAGTGTTTGTGGATTTGGGGCTTCAAAATGATTGATATTTTTCAGAGTATGGTCCATACCGACAGTTTGTGTGAAATGTGTCTTCGAAATAAAGTGCTATAATTATAGTTCTACCCAATTTCTGCGGAAAAACATTGCCAAAAGTTCGGGAATTGCCAAGCAATTTGGATGCCTTTCCTGCGGCCGAGTACACCAATCAACCGCTGGCTGACACTGCAACACATGGCCGGGTCATCTACTCCCATCTCCCTAAATGGTCCCAGAAATATGTGGAAATTCCCATGGAAATTCCATACGTTTTGCCATGGTTTCGTGGTGTTGAATGTGGTGTTGGGGTCAAGCTGCAGAGTTGATTCCCATAGATTACCATAGATCCCATAGCCAAGCATTGGAAAATTACGGGAAGCATTCTGGAAGCCAACAGAAGAATTGACAGCTTGATGTCAACAAAATAGCTTCCGCTTTTCCCCTGTACATCAATGGTTTCGGCCATGTCGATTTCCCACTCACACCACAACACCGACCTAGAACCCCCCACATCCCCACACTAAAAAGATAAAAGTTGCTTGGCATCTAGATTTGTGAGGCTTTCAATTGCCGGCTTCACCAGCACATTTGGAACTTTAGATGCAGCATGTTTGTTTTGTTGTTTCATTTAATTTCATTTGTCTTTTTTTGTGACTGAATCATTTGAATCTCCTGCAGGTGTGGTTGAATTGTCATATCCCGCTGGTGGTTTGGGTGTTCATTTTCCATGGAAAGCACCGAGAGAAAATCTGCTGGAGATCCTTGATTTGAGCCAACCAAAGTGGTCCCATGATTTGAATAGGAAATCCACCCATGGGGAAACTTTGCTGGGAATAGGATGGAATCTGGATGGATTTTTTGTGGAATCTATAGATCATTGGAGTACGGGAAATCTGGATTTTTTGGTTGGGAATATCATGGAATTTTTTTTTTTGGGGAATCTGTTTTTTAGATCGTTGCATTCCAGGTGGGGTATGGACACACCAGGCCGGAGACCGCGGGTAAGACCAACGTAGAGGAAGCGGACTTGTTCTTCGACAGCGGCAAGTGCGGAGCCCCTGGAGGTATGCTGGCCTGCAAAACACTGTCGGATGATTTGAGGGTTTATATGGTTTAGGCATCTGGAAATGGGTATAATATATATATATATAGCTGATACATGCTAATACAACATCCAATTTCATGAAATCCGACCGCCTTTGATTCCAAACGGTTGGTCTTACCGAGGTCAGTGGCTCCCTGGGAGATTCTATCGCACGACTTCAACCTCTCAAGAAGTGTGGGGGAGCTGGTTATTGGGAGCGGGGGACGGCACTGCTGGTTTTTATGATGGTTTTTCTTATCCAAAAAATGCGGGTTACCCCAAAATTACCACTAGACTCACTAGACATACCGATTCCAGAAAGTCATACGAATCCCAAATCTGGTTGAAAAAAAAACATGGGCTTGTCAGTGCTGTCCCAAAGAATCAAGACCCCAAATCTTGCTGTTTATACCATCTGGTTATGACTAACATAGCCATGGAACATCACCATTTTTAATAGGTAAACCATATATTTCTATGGGCCATCTATACCATGGCTATGTAAACGTTTACCAGAGGGTAGTTTATCATCTTCACCATTACAACTACCATCCTGGTGATCCCTCATTTTGAGACCCACACAAAATTGACATGGTATCATGTCCCATTGAATCCCTATTAACATCCCATTAAATCACCTTGTTTATTGCTTAAATCGCCACTAAGAATGGTAGACATCCCATCATTTCGCATCGGCAAAAACCTGGCGAAATGTTTCTTTCTGGTTGGTTGACATTACGATAGTGGATAACAGTAATCTCCACTCAACTGCCCAGAAAAAGTCCCGTTTTCCATCTCTGGTTGTTGGTCACTGTTTCATAATGGGCTTGTCTGAAAACAGGGATCTATGGATGATTTACCAAAGGGTACTTGGAGGACCATCCCACGGATTGAGTTAACCCACACTAAACGAACGGGGGTTTTTGAGGAACCAGGCTTCTAAACCACAAAGTGTGTGGGATGACCATAACCCTCCAAGTAGATTCAGATAGTAATATTATGTAAATTTATGTCATATTAACATCTTTCTGGGATGGGTTCAAGCAACGGATGGTATAAACCTTCAGCATGGCATGGATCCATTTGCACCTCTTTGTGAGAAGTTGGGCGGGCGGATGGTACCCGAAAATAGCGGTGAATGAATACCTGGTTCCCCAAATATGGAATAATAGGTGTCGACCAATCCCCATTTAAACATATTTCATCGGCTCCCATAATGGGTTCTATGAATCCCTCTCTCTCTACATATGTGATTTGTAGAATATACAACTTGGTACTTCAAAGCACCACCCATGATTTATTACAACTACATCCCACAAATTTCATGATTTACCCTCTGGTTATTTAACATAGCTATGGAAAATGGCCCATTTACATATGATTTTTCCCAACTATAAACCTCCATTTATAATGGATTTTTCATAGCAAACTGTTAAATAACCAGATGGTAAATCAGTTTAACTGACGCTTAAATCACCCATTCCTTGACGAAGGTGGGCCCGGCAGTGCGCCATGGTGCTGCAAGGGGCGATTAATCGATGTGGTGAGAGGATCTAGGATTTGTTGACATCCCGTTGTGGTCTAATCACATGCATTTTTTCACACATACCGCGAATATATATATGGTTTTGTGATGTTTTTGTGTGTTTGCCACATTTAGTCAGTGAACAGTTCCTTCCTGTTCCTTCAACATAACCATCAAAAACCATTGTCCAAAACTCTGTTCGTTTCTCGAGCTCTGGTGGGCGCCCCCAAAGGGGGCGAGCTCCAACCAGAGCTCTCTGGTAGATGCTCCAGTGGACAACACTTCCGGTTTTCGGAAGGGCGCCCAGTCAGCAATGTTCAAAGTTGCCATGTCGGTGACATGAAGGGTTACACTTCACCATGGCCTTACTGGGGGTTAAAGATGTTAAAGAAGTGCCAAATTCTTGTTTGGGATGCCCTTGCAGCAACCAGGTTGTTGTGCAATTGTTGACCAGGCCAGCACGCCAGGCTCATCAAAGTGACATGAGCCCAGGACCACCGCTTCGCGAATGCGAAAGAAGCCGGGACAGGGGGATGACCCGGGGTTTAAGCGGTGGCAGTTTGTCTTGTTTGTCTTTTTGTTGGGTACCCAACAATCCACCAGCTTAGTAGATGTTAGTGGGGTTGATCTCATAAATTTCCTTATTTTAAATCTTATTAATGTATATATATATGAATGTGCAAGTTGTCATTTTGGGGTATAGTTACCGCCAAGTTTTCAGACACATCATCGATGTCAATCATGCATCCTCAGCTACAGCTACCCTTCCAAAGATCAATATCTGTTTATACCCCAAAATGATCTGGGATTTTCGACAGACTGGAAATGACCAGCAACATGTGTTTTTTTCAGAGTCTTGAATCTTGACCCACACCCATATAATTTGGGGAATTTCTCCCGGCAGTTGAATCCTGATAATTTCAATATCTTGGCTGTGTCTGAAAATATACAGCTCCAATTTTTACGCCTTGGATTTTTAGTGTTTTTAAATGGTGACTAAGCATTTAATTATTATCCACTAAAAAAAGGAAAAGTGGTATGCCCTCTTGAATTAGTGATTACATGTCATTACTATCCATTTAATATTAAAATGGTGAATTGCCCCCTTCAATTTTGATATTGCTATTATAGTGTTACTATTAGATATATTTCAATATCCATCGATATTACTATTCCATATTCGTGACTATCCATTTATTTACGTACTATCCATGACTAGATCCATTATCAATGGCTTGGTTTACGGGACAATAACTTACTTCCATGGTTTAACCATGGTTTAACCCCCCTTTGTTTCATGGTAAAAAAAACCTGTAAAACCCCATGGTTTCCCTGTAAAAAAACCTCCCACGGCTCGATCGCTAGCGTCCGCTGCTGGTCAGGTGCCGTCAACAAGGCTGCGCCTGCGGGAACTTCTCATACGTGCCGCCAGGTGCCCCCCAGATCGATAGGTCGGAGTTTTCGAAAAAAAACACATGGTGTGAAGTTATGGGTGATGGCTTCTAGATGTGTTTTTTGAAATTGAAATACTATGAAATTGAAATTGTTGATGACCAGAAAAAGGGAGGAGACTCAGAAAAAAGATGATGTCAACGACCAAAACTCTGGAGTTTTGCGGTTTGGGGGGCAACTAAAGGATCGGTCGACAGCTTCAAGCCATTTGTTCCGGTTAAAAAAGGGCACTTTCATTTTTACTGATCTGAAACCCAGCAGTCCAGCAACACATTTTAGCAGGTGATTGTTTTTATCTTTTGAGATTGGCTGATTGTATTCAAGTATTTTCTGCCTTCATTCGATCTTCAACTGTTGTGGTTTCCCTTCAAGGGACTGACCCAGAAACCAGATCACACTTCAATTTGGCGTTTTGGCGCGGCCTCTTGCTCAAACCCGCAGTTTTTTTTCCCTTATATAAACAGCAACCCCCAAGAAGGATGCCGAAAAGTATGAAACCTGGAAACATGAAGTGAAATATCATTTATTACATCCTGGAACCACTGACATATATCTCTTTTAGATGCTACTAGTTATACACATGAAACTATGAAGACGGATCGTGTTCAAAGGGCGCAGCACCTCAGCATCCAGCCTCAGGTCTCATGTGGCCTTAGAGTTTTACCATGTTTTCTTTGTTTCCATGGTAGAGCTGAGACAGGTTGTCTTCGCAGCCTATGATCATGCTGACACAAAGCTACGAAGCTTGACAATCATTCTCAAGATTGATCAGAATGTTGCTAGGTGGTTGAATGTTGATCAAGGCTCAAAAGCTAAGTTGTGGGTGGTCCATACAATAGGAACTTTGAGCACCCTCTAGCACCACAACCATCCGAAGTTATCAGCAAACAAGAGGGCAGGAAAAAACACACGCCTTGGAAGTGACATTGAAGTTTGTTTGCTTGCCCAGCATGGTATGATCGTTCCAACCAATGAGGCTAAGGAACATGGATGGGAAGAATGGCGGGGACCTATATATTAGTTTTGCGTATGTATTTATTTATATATATATATATACATACAGCACCCGCATGATCATTGATGTATAATATGTTATAATATGACGTATGGAAGTACACCTTTATATATTTATATATGTTTTCTTTTGATTGCACATATATATATATATATATGCCATGAGTACCACGCTATGTAAAGGTATGCATACATCAACATTCACAATTGTACGTTTTTGCGTATGCAGTGGATATGGACATCATTTACTAGAATATTATGTATCTATGCTGAAGGAAGCGAGAATATATATATATATATATACATTGGACCATGGCAGTGTATGTAAGTTTTTTCTATAATGATCATAACTACAATCACCCCAATCATAATCATCAAACCCATGATTTATTCAAGAGTTAGCAAAACTTTAAAGCAACAGATCCCCAAATGACAATATTGAGGATGCTTTAATTTATTTACTAAACCTAATGAAAAATCATACCCTCTGGTTATTTAACAGTTTGCCATGGAAAATTGCCCATAGAAATAGATGACCTTCCCAGCTATAAACCTCCATTTATAAGGGATTTTCCATGGCTATGCATGGCTATGTTAGTCATAACCAGAGGGTAAATCATCCCACATTTACCCAATTGTTAGGCCTGCGAAGGTCGTCAGTTTTTACATGTTTTTACGCATCGCCCCATGGGTTCATGAATGGTCCTTGCGGGTCCCGGTTAAAAATGGGTCCACAACTATCGTTGACCATCATTGTTCATGCCAATTCTCGATGGTGTGTATATATATATATATTACTGGTTGGTGGTTTGGAACCATGGAATTTTATGACTTTCCATATATTGGGGAGAATCATCCCAACTGACGAACTCATATTTGTCAGAGGGGTTGAAACCACCAACCAGATTACATTCCTTTGTATCAATGATTTATAGGCAAGTTCATACAAACTTTGTATCAATGTTTTTTTTTTTTTAATAAACATAGATGCAATTTATGGTAATGTGTTTCCCAAAGAAAAAACATGGAACATGGATGAAAAAAAGGTTTCAAACGCTGTCTGGTTGCCAGGTCGCCCATGTCGATCGCTCGCTTGGAGTCAGCTCTTTTCGTGCTGTGGCGACTCAGGGCGAGCCCCATTTTGTTCTCCGGATTCAAACCATCCCTATGAAACTGGCCATTTGGGTATACCATATATCAAAACCATATATTAACATATATCAAAACCATATATTAACATATATCAAAACCATATATTAACATATATCAACTGAAATTTTCAGACAAAACCATATATCAACATATTGGTATATCAGCTTAAATACAAGAATATTTACCATATAACAACGATGGTATACCAAATTTTCATACAATAAGCCACTATATCAACATATTGAAAACCAATTGTTATTGTTATACCATGTGGGATACATTGGAATCCAGAATTTGTATCCAGAATTGTGATGGTTTTCCCAGCTGTTCGGGGATTTCCCAGCTGTTCCCATCTTGGATGACGGAGGCACCGGAGCTGTCCCCGTTGTGGCTTATCCCATCTATTTATCATCGTTACTAGTTCGCCAACCCCGAAAATGATGCTGAAAAAGTGCTTCCATTCGGCTCTAGATGATATTCCATACATATTTCCAGGTTTTCCCGCATGTTTCGACATGTTTCGGAGTTTCTAACTCGGTGGGAGGATCCTCCATAGCCGCCGTCACTCCAAGGTGCCCCTTTTCGCAGCCCAGCATCAAGTCGCTGTTTGGCTCCGCCGCTGACGGCATCAGGTGAAACAGCGTTCATGTCAGGGCTGGGGGGACATCAAACCAGTGAAAACTGGACCACTCCGTGGGTACCCCCAAGACTTAATGGTGATTTAATGGAATCTATGGTGATTTGGGGCTTTCTTAAAATGGGGGATCGCCAATTCACCAAAGGTTTCAATACTAAAACTTGGTGACTTGGATGATTTTTGGGGCCACAACTGGGGAACATCTATATATGTGGAGTGGTTTTTGAGTTGCATTTATCCATGCACAAATCATTGAAACATCAGGATGACCGTGGATTACCAGCGTTGGGAAAAATGATCGTTGTTGAAGAGGTAAATGCTCTATAAATGGCAATTTTCCATAGCTATGTTAAATTGACAGAGGGAAAGCATTGTTTTTTTTGGGGTGCCCAGTTTTCAGACAAGCCCATATGTGAGGGAGCTACTGTAAAGAGAAAGCAAAACAAACAAAATCACTAGGTACATGACCAGGTACATGGAGTTTTTATGTAGATTGAAGTTTCCCAGATCAAACATGAAGTTCTACCCTGCGAACATTGGGCCTTAGGAAGCAGAACATATAATTTTGCCAATTGGGTCTTGGTCAAAATTGAAGTATTTTGGCTTCAATGATCTGGATATGGATGTGTAAAAATTTGGTATATCCGGTATATCTCCAAAATTGGTAGTTTAATACGGAAAATGAAGAAACTATGAAGACTACCTACGGGTTTTGGGGTTACCCGCCTCAATCCAGTTGGGCTGACCCCTAAACTTGGATGGTTTGTTGAAAAATTAGAGTTTGACTCTTTGTTTTTCCATTGATTA